CCCCCCCCCCCCCCCCCCCCCCCCCCCCCCCTCTCTCTCTCTCTTTGACTCTGACTCAACAAGGCTTTTCCCTTCATCGGAACTTAGGACGTAATAGTGCGCAGGTGCTAGCCACGGGTGGTGTACCCGCACTTCTTTGTGTGGCCCAACTTTTGGCCGAGCCCAGCTGGCAGCCCCTGTGCGTACGCCCGCGGGTCAAACTGCAACGCATGCACCTTCTCGCTCACTGCACTTCTCGCACCCGTGTGTGCCACCTCACAAATCAAATGCTTGCTAGCCTGGCTGGTCCCTATCTGGCTTATTTGGCCTGCTGCTGCGGCGACACCTTGGCCTCGGAGATTGGTCAGACCGCGCAAGCCCCACCTCGCATGATTCTTGGTTGGCAAAGAGTGGGTGACTAGCTCGACGCAATTTGCAATCCCCACTCCACCACTGTCCTATTTGGCCATTGGCTGCTATTCTTGTTGTCCAGCTGCTCCTGTTGTTTATGACATTTGACCTTTTTTTTGACACCACCCGTGGCCCTGGTGCTCCAGTCATGAGTATGTTTGCCGATCGCCCGAAATACCCATCCCTTGCTTCAGGCAGCAACCGGTACAGATGGCGCAGTCACGTCGCGGGGCACCCTGGCTAGCCTCATCGGCGGTGCTTTAATTGGTCTTTGTACCGGGTCTTGGCTAGGCTTGGCACAAGGCGGTCAGTTCAGCTCGTTTGTACTTTCTCTCCCGTTGCACTTTTTTTTTTTTTTTTTTTGGCACAATGTGCCTCAACTCAATTCTCTCTGCATTGCCTCGGTCCATCAGCTGTCTTTGGCGTTGCTGGCTCGATTGTCGACAGCATTCTGGGCCAATTGCTGCAAGGCCCTGCACAGATGGCCGCGCAACCAGCACGGTGGAAGCAACTCAATGTGCTGGTCAACCTGATCAGCTCCCTCGTCATGGCCGGTGCGGCCATGTTCTCCTTCTGGCACCACCCGCCTGTCATCGTGGGTGCCCTGGTGGCCTCGGTCGCCTTTCTTTTTCTGCTCTATCGCCATGAATAGATCGAGGGAGTGGATAGAGCGAGTAACCTCGCTGGCTGAGACAACGTGCCGCGGCCAATCACTCATGCATCGTCGCCGGCTGGACCAAGCTCCCAATGTCTATTCAAATGTCTAAGCCAATTCAATTGATCACATGGTGCACAAAGCATACCCAAGCACCCCTGAAAAATAAAAGACACAGGACTACTCCACATGCTCTCCGCTCGAGGTGTTATCAGACTGGTCGAGTGGCTTCTCGGCGGCACTCGCTTCTTCGGGTCTAGCAGCGTCTGTGTCGCGCTCGGATGTGACGCCGCTGTTTTCGCTCGAAGTCCACAGCTCTACACACAGCAGCGCGATGAGAATACGCAGCCAGAGCTCTGCCGCTGTCGCAAAGCTTACGGACGCGATCCACGACAACGACTGACTTGACATGTCGACCATGCCCAATTCCTCACGCTCCAACTCTTGCTGGCGTGCCAACTGAGACGCGGATGCCTTCCTGTACACACGAGGCCAACAACCGTGAGGGCACGCCACACAAATGCAAGCAGGAAACAATCGAGTGCCTCTTAAACGTGGGCACCAAGGCCCAACACCAAAGTACCCAATGCAAAGATACAGCACCACACGACAGGCCATTGCTTACAGGCTGGCTCGGTTCTTGACCGAGGCAGTAAAGCCACGCTCGCGTGTGGCTTGGTTCTCGGTCGCTTGATCTGCGTATGGCACCGGCAGGGGCGGAGGCTGTGCCTCGCCCTCTGTGGATTCGGGCATTGGCAGCCGATTTTGTGGCTTGATCAGCGTTTCAGCTGCAGCCCAGGCGCGGCAAATTGCTGTTACCCAGGCATCTCGCTCTGCCATGTTACCCGCCACACAGAAAAGGGCCGCATCTTCTTGAATGACTTCAAAACACCGCGTAGCCTCGTCACCCTCGCCATGCGAGGCCTGCACCTGCAACACCGTGTTGAGGGGGATGCATCCTTTGATCTTGCCAATCCGCTTTTTGGTCGACTCTGGCGAGTAGTCGTAGTAGCTCAGCGTGGTTTCCTGGAGCACAAACCAGCGCAACCGTGCCTTATTGTTCACATTGATCTTGCCGGTACGGATTTGCGGCTTCTTCCATAGCGGGCCCTCTTTCAGCAAGTCCTTATGGGTCACAGGTCGTGGGACTGCGGGGGCCGGGGCACTGGCACCACGCGAGAAGAGGCGCATGCGCGAGGCCGATGATGCCCCCGCCTGTGGCTCGGCGTCCCTGAGAATCGATACGTCAGCATGCCGAGTGTCTTCGGCCAGCGGAGTTCCGGCCGTCCCGCTACCTTCACTCGAAGTCTCAGCGTCGTCCGCGCGCTCGCTTTGCTCGGCATCAGCCGCAGGTGCCGTCGAAGGTGGCGGTGGCGGAATCGAAATCGATGCGCGCACAGGAGGTGGCGATTCATCATCTGGCTGCGCAGTCATGGCTGCGCTGGCTTTGGCGTCGGTGGCCTCTTTGGCACTGGCAGCGGTGTCGGGGCTGGTATCTTCGATGCTTGTATCATCAGAGGTTTCGACACGGGCTGTGGTGGATGACGTCGACGGTTCGCCGGCTGCCTCGAGATCGCCACCCGCCTCAGCCTTGCTCGCTTCGCGGTTGACGGTCTCAAGCTCGATGGCCTCGGGCTCGGACTTGATGGTCTCGGGCTCAATGGTCTCGGCTTCAGGCTTGGCCTCGGGGTCCTCGAGCTCTGGGTCAGCAGGCTTGGGTTCCTCATTCGGCTCAGGTTGATAGGGTGACGGAATGGGCGGCGCTTCTGCCTCGACCACTGGGTTGGATTCGGTGCTGGCAGCATCTGTCATGGTGTCGGCAGCCATCGCAGGGCCTGAACCTGTGTCACTGTTGCTACGTGCACTGCGCATTCCAATCTTGTTGCGAAGAGCGCGAAGCGAAGACATTCGAGGTGCAGCTTGGCCATCAGACGCGATCGCATCGGCATTGCCACCATCCAAAGAGCCTGAGAGACCCGCGGCCATGTGGATAATGGCCCCTAGTTCAGAGGGCCGGCGATCTGTGTCCAGCAGATTGCACAGTTCCAACGATGACGCGTTGTCGAGGTCTTCCAAGAGCTCAACCAATCGCTCGTGCTGCGCTGAACCCTACCAAAAGACGCCAATTTCGGGACGCAAGATGAGAAAGTCCATAGAGACCCACGACCCCAGGATGTACGTGGTGCAACAGCCACGTTTCACATGCCAGACCTCGGGAAGGTTGGTATCAGCACCACGCAGCAACAAGGCTTTGACGCAGTCCATTTTCCTGTGTGACGAATGGGCATCAGTATGCCCAAACCTGGTCTAGACGGTTCCTCAAGGCCTCAAAGGCCTCTCGACACTCCCGAGCCCCGACAGCACAACACGTGTCAACAAACCTCTTCATAGCGGCCACGCTTAGAGCCGTGCCCGAGCCGGAGGGGTAGTCAATGTCAAAGCCAGCCTACCCAAGCAAGTTGCCCCAAATGGCGAATGAGCCGGCAGATCTAGAAGGGCCAAGCTCGAAGCGCCGTTTCTTCCTGACATGGAGCGCAAGCTTTACCTCAAGGAGAAGGATGAGAACACGAGCGTGACCATTGCCCGCAGCGCGGTGCAACGCGCTGAGATGACGTGTGTTTTGAATCTCCGTCTCTTTCACTGACAATGACACGCAGCATGAGAGAGAAGCGTGTGCATATAAGCCCCTTTTTGTGAGACTTTCTTGCTAGTTTCCAGACCACGCATCGGTGGCCGAGGAGGAGGGCAGGAGACGTACAGGGAGGGGGTAGGATTTCATAGCCAAGGTCGCGGAGCGAAAGTAGAAAGCGGGTCATGTCCAGATGTCCAGCCTGTGTGACACAAACAAGTTTTCCTTGGGTCAGAAGGGCAAAGCCACGCACATTTACCAACACGATGGTAGCCAGCTGGCCACGTACCCCGGCAGCAAGTTCCAGCGGGGAAGTTCCATCCTTGGTCTCCTCCAGCGGATCTGCACCATAATTGATGAGGGTTTGCATCACCTCCACGTGGCCCACGTTGGCACTGATGTGTAGTGGCGTCTCGCCTGTGTCAAAGATGAGAGTTAAGAATGGGTGCAACACGGGGCAGCCATGCCACAGCACACAAAGCCAATTCGGAACAGGCACGCCAGCTTCAAGGGTGGCAGAGACAGACCGGCGCGAGTGGATGTGACTGAAACATCAGCACCTCCATCCAATAAAAGTCGAGCGACCTAAGCCACAAAGTACAGTGAGCGCAGCCGTGTTAATGCGGCCTGGTATCATCAACGTGTCTGCGCGCACTGACGTCATGTTGGTTGTTGAAGGCAGCCATGTGCAGAGGGGTCATGCCATTTTTATCAGCTACGCCACGAGTAGATGCGAGCCAGGCAAACCAACAAAGGTGGATGAGACGAAATCGCAGCCGCTTCAACGCATGGGTATCCGTTAGCGGCGAAATTGGACACACTAGCATTCACATCGGCATTGGCCGTGAGCAGCAACTCCACGACGGCCAAATGTCCCTGAAGGAAGTGCGACTGGTGAGGAGGGCCACAGAGGTCGAGTAGCAAGGGGCAAGTCCCAAGTAGAGTCAATCAGTCAAGATGAATTCTCACGTTAAGAGCAGCCTTGTGCAGAGGCGTGCAGCCGTCCTCATCCTGCCAAGCGATCAATGGGGGCGTGTGTGAGGCGCCGCTCCTTTTACCGGTACAATACACAATGGAGAGCCTTTCAGGGATGAGCAGGTAGACACCTTGTCATTGATGCTCTGAGCGCGCTTGCCTGGACCCTTGAAACCTATGTGCCCGTGATCGAATCGGGTGCGTTCGCGAGTGGGCAGGATGAGAGCGCGCCCGAGTCTGCTATCCCCGGGTTTGTGGGATGAGCCATTTCGGACGTACTGCTGGACAAAAGGGACTGCACTGCATCAACATCACCGGCCTCGGCAGCACTGGACAGCGACTTGCCCATCATGCGCAGGCTTTGGAACATGCTGGACATGGCCGTTGGTCACCAATGGAAGGCCCACTCCGCCGTCGAGTTTCGTGCCCTGTCGCACTCACACACTCCCGCACCTCCACTGAATTCGTAAAACGCAGACTAACAAGGAACCGAGTTTTGTGCGTTGCAATGCCACCACCGACGTAATGTCCGCATCCCCTGTCGTGAGCGCGTCACCGCATCCGCATCCGCCTCCGCATCCGCCGCTGCCGTTGTGGGATCGAGTGCCGAGTCAGCGTCGTCGTCGTCGTCGGGCTCCTGTCTGGACCTTTGCTACCAATTGTCATCATCCCAATACCCTTTTTCTAACCATATCCCCTGGGATTTGTCATGGCACGCCCTGTTCTCTAAAGTAAAGCAGGTGTCGTTCAACTTTTATTTCCCGCATGTGTGTGGCTCCCTCTCGACTTTTTCTTGTGTGTGTGGGTGTGTGCGCGCGCAAACGGCAGCGAGTGGCAGGCACGACGCGTGCATAGGGAGAAGGGCGCTTCACGGATTTGATCGCTGGTCAAGCTCATTGGATTTTCTGCACCCTTGTTGGTTTAGTCTGCCACCAAATCGGATCGGTGGTCCGTATTGAAAACCCAAAAGTAGCACCGACGTCATGTTGCCGGCGCTGGTCCCGTTGGCCAAGGCAGAGGCCCAGTATATTCTGGACGGCGTCCAGGAGGACATTCGCAACGACGGTCGGCAGCGGCATCACGCGCGGTGAGTTGTGCCGCGACTCGTCTGTTGCTTTTTTTTGCTTTTTTTTTCCTCCTGTTCTCTTCTTCATCTTGTACCCAAGCAATGAGCCACAAGCAACACGACGCCTCGCCCCACTTCTGATGCGCCGTCGTCGCAAATGCCGCATTTGGTAGGCCCTATCACATCGAGACGGGCCTTGTATCCAATGCCAACGGCTCAGCACGCGCACAGCACGTGGGCACGGATGTTCTTGTCGGAGTCAAAGCCGAGGTATGTGGGCCGGTCGCGAGTGACCCGCTGGGTTAGGAGCTCAGCCGGCACGCACCGTCCTCACTCGGCCCTTGTCTGATGTTGGTACTGCAGCGCGGCGTGGCATTGGGTCAGAATGAGGATGAAGGGCAGATTGAGGTACTCTCGCGCATGTTCAAGAAGACTCAACAGTTCGGGCGCGCTTGCCTCTGCTCTGCCTCTCGCCTTCAACCCTCACAGCGCACTGGGCAATGTCGTTGAGCAGTTTGCAGTGCAGTTTGCCTCGTCCGCAACAGCCATGTTGTCAGGTCGCGAACGAGAGGACTATGGACGTGCCATTGCCCTGGCTCTGCAGGAAATGGCCGACGTGCGCGGTGCGATCGATCGACAGGTACATAGATGATCCAACATACCCATCGTCGCGCGTCAGCTCCCCATCATCGTGACCATGGCGGGCAAGAGGTTGCGACTTGTGTTCCGCATTTAGAACGGAGGTTTGGCTATGCCTCTTTTCTCGAGATTCATTGTGTTTGCGTCACCTTTATCATCTCTTCCCGGCAGGCACTGTGCATTATTGCTGGCCGTGAGGCTTTTACACTCAAGGTGGACGTGATGATCTTGGCAGCCAATGGCGGGGCCATTTATGACACTGCTGCTGTAGCCGTCTATGTACGACAAGCCCGCCCAGAGTCTGCAGAAATGGATTTGAGAGAGGGAGAGAGAGAGAGAGAGAGAAAAGACATCCAACTGAAGCTGAGCAGTTTGCTCATCCTTGCTCTGACCCTTGTGATTACAATGTGCTGCAGGCGGCCCTGGCCTCGTGTGACATTCCCTCGGTAACTCTGGTCAAGGACGCTGATGGTGACGTCGTGGACTGGGAGTTTGCGGATACACCTGACCATCAATTGGACGTGAGCCGTCTCCCACTTCTGACGACCATCGCCAGCATCAATGATTTCGCTGTGCTCGATGCCACCACAGCGGAAATGGTACGCATTGTCGGCCAGTGTGTTGACTGTTAGGCGCCGGGACGATACACACTCTTCTTCCGTACAACAAGCCTTCCTATACATTCTTACACGTTGCTGACTGCCTTGCAATGGCTGACAGGCCTGTGCAGATGCAGCCATGATCTTGGGTATCGATGCTCAGGGCGAGCTGTGTACCTGCCGTTTGGTGGGGCGAACTGGCGGCGTAGATCCCGAACTGTTAACCGAAATGACACTCATGGCGCAGGAGGTTGGTTCAAGCTTGTGGCTACTCTGCTTGACACGCTCTTGACCGTGTCGGTTGGTCTACAGCAGGCTGGCCCCGTGCACGATGGTAGCCTAAACAACTGCTTGTTCATTTGGCTTTTTCTTTCTGTGTGCCTTGTAGGCGGGCAAGGCCAGCGTGGCTAGCGTGCGTAACGCCCTGCAGCAAGAGGCCGCTCTTGATCGCAGTCCCATTGCCGTCGGCTTTTTACGGTAAACTCGGTGCGATGTGCACTGGGCCTCTTTTACTCCCCAAAACGAACAAAAAAAAAAAAAATACCTCCCGACTATGGCCTCGACATGCCAACTTGGCCGCTTGGCCATATTGCATTCTTGCGGCTGGTCTACATGAGTGTGTATGGGGGCACGAGGACTACCAACAATGATCGGTCGTCGCGTCTGAGGCGCTATGCAATGTGCAGCTTGATGGTACACACAAGTAAATTGATGGTCAAGTAGAGACATGGATCAAGCTTTCTTACGAACGACCTGCCAGACAGAGGTGAATCCCCGTATGCCGCGAGCCATCGCTTTGATGGAAGGTTCGAGCCATGGGCAAGGTACAACAACATACGCGCGAGCACAGACAGACACAAACAAATAAAAGAAAATCGTACAAGGGCGCAAGCGCCTCATTTCGCACCGAGGGCGAGAAAAACAAAGGTCGTTGCAGAAGCAGAGCAACAAGGAAAAAGGACAGAATGAACATACCAACAAGAACAGGGTAGGTCAGACGCAGACAAGAAATTCAAGGTAACAATACAAAAACAATCTGGCGATTAAAGGGGGGATCGGGCCAAACGCCCAGACCATCTAAAAAGAGGTAGATCAAAAAGACATGCCTATGTTTTGGAACGCAGTGGTGTCAAAAACACGACAAAGAAGAAGGGGAGGGGGTCACAGTGTCTCGGTGCCTTATCAACAACAAAGATTCCCTGGCATCGACTACGAAGATACGGGCTTGTCCATGCCGGCAGAAGCCTTGACAGGGAGGCCCATGGGGGCATCGATCGGGATCGGGAACGTCTGTGGTGGTCGCCAGCCCAAGTCACGGGCAATCTGTGCCTTGACAACCTGGATGGTCCAACGCTTGCCTGGCGCAATGCAAAGCATGCTGCAAACCAAAATCAGCAAGCAAGGAAAGATGAGCGGAGACACTTGGGCGGACAGATGCAGCCCAACGCATTGCGGCGGGCACGGTGACGGGTGACGAGCAGAGAGGCCATGCAGTACCGGTGAAAGAGGTTGCGGAAGACTGAAGCCATCTTGGTCCAGGGTTTGCTGTTGGGGTAGCCCTCGGTGTGCTTGTAGAGACGGTACTCGGGCGTCGCCTCGCGAGCAATATCCCACGGGGTGTAGCCGTAAAAAAGCACAAAGAGCACCACTCCACAGGACCAGACGTCTGCCTTGAGTGGATCGTAACCTTGAACGGCACGCTTGGCGACGGCCGCGTAGTGGCATTTGAGATTTTCCGGCGCTGCGTAGCCGGTCGAGCCGCGGCAGGAATACAGAGGCCCGTCCTCACTCAAAACAGAGAGACCAAAGTCACAGAGTTTGAGGCGGCCGTCATGATTGAGCAGCATGTTCTCTGGCTTGATGTCCAGGTGGGCAATGCCCTTGGTGTGTAGATAGGTCACGGCATCAATCAGCTGTGCATAGATGGGCCCCAACAGGTCGCGGCGAATGCCGGCTCGCGGTTCAATCAGATTGAACACCTCGCCCCGACTACACAGCTCAAAGACCAAATAGGCAATATCCTAATTCAGACGGTCGTGCATGAGGAAGGTGGCCGCCCTGGTGTGTGTGTGCGCGCCTGGTGTGGGTGCGCGTGGCCGATGCGCAGCAAAGGGGGGCACTGGCGCAAGGCAGATTGAGCGCACAAACCTGAGACACAAAGTAATCGAAAAATTCCACAATACCGGGATGACCAAGGGCTAGCTGGTGGATGCGCAGCTCGTTTTTGTAGGCCGACTTGGTCTCGTCGCGCAAAAGAACGCACTTGACCGCCACAGACCGACGGCTCGTCCCTTGCAAGCCTGAAGGATTGTTGGGAGAAGAAAAAAAAAAAAAAAAAAGGAGGGCGGGGTGGGTATGGGAAGGGGGGTCTAGCGGCTGAAATGACATGAACGTGCGCCAATGCAGGGACTCAAGCTAAGAGCATGCTGGGATCAAAACGAGCATGATGGGATCTGGCGGCTGGCTGTGGGTTGCACAGCGGGTGTGAACAAACCAGGAAAGACGGTAGAAAAGGCGCCATGGCCCAACTGATGACGAATGTCCACAGTAATGTCGGCAATGTTGGCTTCGACGCACTCCAGGAGCTCGTTTTGAATGTCAACAATCCCCTCGGCTACATGGGTGTTGTTGCCAGTGGTATCGTCTTCGTTGATAAATTGCTTGTTGTTGTCACAAGAGGTGTCCATGGCTTCTGTTTGGTTGCTGGCTGTATTCTGCGCCGTATCCTGCGCCGAGCGGGAACGCGACACGGGACCCGCATGAGCTAAAACACTTCACCTGGTTATCCTCAAGAGGAAAGGGCTAGGGCAGGGAAGGAAAACAGGGCCAAGAGGAGCTGGGGTTGGGGTGTGAGGCGTGTGACGTACCTCACTATGGGCCATGACGACCACACGGGAAGGGCTGCGCGGCGACGCTAGAGCCGGCCGGTCTGGCGGCGAGCAGCAACGGCTAGTGACCCCACTCGTGGAGGAGGTGCCAATGGTGACGAGCTTAAGGTTTTCGCTGTCGATGGCAGATGCCACGGCCGAGGAGGAGCGCCTGGTGGCCAAACCAAGCGGGGCGCCGCGCGCTGGAACAATCACAGCGGGTCTGCACGCTTCACGCAGCGCTGAGGGCAAGGGGTCCAGAGCGGAGGGAAGCAAGCTTAGCAGCGACCACCACAGTGGGCAGCACAGGTCGGGACCGGTGGCAAGAGACCCAGTCGTCAAAAGAAGTGCCAACGCGGGGCCAACCAGCACCCCACAACGAACGGTGACGACGGTCAGCAGACCCGCCGACGCGTCGGCGGGAACGCAAGCAGACAAATGAAACGCGCTACTGGGTGTCGAACAGTGTTGCGCGGCTTGAACGGGGGGCGACGAGGATGGCCGAGGCACAACAACGGCAGAAGCAGCCGCACAAGAAAGCGGGGTCGGTACGGCTGGTGGACGTCGTCTCGGCCGTGGTGGCTGTCGGTGGTGTTGAAGCTGGTGCTGTTGTTGCTCTTGCTGCTGCTGCTGGATTTGATGATGGTGATGGCGAGAACACGCAGGCTTCATTCAAGCGAATGGTCCGAAACAAGGCGCACAAGGGAAGAAGGGCGATGTACGCAGGAAAAGCAGGCAAATGACGGCATGCGTGGGCGACCTGACGGCTGATACGCAAGTTTGCTCCACTAGAAACCGCCCCGCCGCTGCCGTTTTGGGGGCACAAACGCGCCGAAACGAACAAAAGACTACAAAAGACTATTGTTGCCAATTGAAGAGAGAGAGAGAGAGAGAGAGAGAGAAGTAAAGGGAAAATGAGAATGAATGCAATTGGCCAAGTTGGTTTTTGTCTGTCAGCAAATTTGTAGACAAAAGAAGGGTTTGTTTTCCCGCCAAAATTGGCTTGACGGCTCGATGTTGTCGAAGAAATCAGTGACTGACATCTGGTACTGGATATGAGTAGTGTGATATGTGCTACACTTTTAGATGCGCTGCTTGCTATTCTTAGCGAATGGCAGCCAGTGATGCAAAGACGGGGCACCTCTCGAGGTGATGAGCAGGCGATCTTGGATTGGTCCCAGCATAATCAAGAATAAGCAGCAGCCGCTCACGGCTCAGAACCGTCTTGTTGGCTGTGGATGGGCAACGGCGTGGCTGCCATCGTTGGTGACGGTTGACAGCGGCTTGGGGCTCCCTTGCCAACTCGGAGCCGGAGCATCCCTCGGCCATATCCCGACGTTACGTGTGTCTGTGGCATCGAAAGGCTGACAAGTTCCCTCCAACAACTGTTGTTGTTGTTCCACATTGAAGCTTTCACTACGATTTCGGGTTGAGAGGCAAGATGGCTGAAGTTGTTCAGGGCATGCTTGGTAGGGAATGAATTTGCGCTTCACATCATCACATATCGCGACGCGGCCCCACGCGCAGGAAACCAAGGACTGCCCTCGTCACACATCTTTCCCCGTACACGGCAAGAGGGCTGGCCCTGGCACGATCGATCCGTACGCAAACTAGACTTCGGGAATCTCACCCAAACCTTCTGCGGCCTCAGTCACCACAGCATCCAAGCGCTCGTCCTGGCGCTCATCGCATAATTCCTCAAAGACGTGGAGATCGGCTGAAAGAAGACGATCAATAAGCACATCCAGCTGCTCACTCACGGCCGCTTTGCCAGCCGTATCCAGGTCAAAGCTGGCCTCGAAGTGACCGCGGAGTCGCCCGTCATAGCAATAGCCAGCCACACACAGCAGGGCCTGCGTGCACATTGGTAAACTACCCGCCGTAGCCCAAACAGAACAAAGGCCCGTGAATGGACTCGATGCACACAAAAAAGCTCGCCGTACCTGAGCACGTGCAGTGGGCGAACAGCAAGGGCGACGAGTGAAGCCAGCGAAGCATGGAGAAAAGAGATAACCTACTTGAGAGCCTCGCCAGCTCCCACCCAGAGCGTTTGCATTGCGGGTATCTACATGGGTAGGATGTTTAAGACAAGAATCATCATGAAAATTGACTTTTGGGCCAAAGAGGAAAAAAATAAAAAATAAAATAAAACGGGCCCCGGTCAAACTGCAACGCACCTCAGGATAGCAGCGCCGGACCAGGTCGTAGAGGAGGTCGCGCGATACAATTGAGAGACTTGAAGTGTCTTCGAGTTCCTTCCGTGTTGCAGGCACGCTGATCAAATCAAAAAGCGCTACAAACTTGGGCTTGAGCTGCGGTAGACCATCCAGGGGTACCAAGCGATGCAATGGCCGGCACAAGGGAACATCGCCAGCCTCTGGTGCCACTTGAGGGGCCATGGGTGACACAGCTTGCTCAAAGCCGAGCGGCCGCGTCTGTGTCACTGTACGCTTGGGTGGCTTGCCCCGTGGTCGCTTGGAATCTACTGATGCTGCAGCTGCTTCTGTTGACTTTGCCCCGGGCACCCCCGCTGTCGCCAATGTAGCGGCCACGTGCTCGGTCATGGCCTACCGCACACCCCGACGCCCGCGGTTGAGTGAGACGTACATGACCAACTTCGCAGGAGAAAGAAGACATGTCTGGTGCCTGCAGCGGCGTTCCACTACAACGAAGCAAAAAGCAAAAGCAACCCCCCCTTTTAAAAAAAAAAACGAAAACAATCCCGAAAAAAACACTAGGGCGTTGGCAACGCACGGCAGACCGGCGCGCGGCCCAGGACACGACAGCGCGCACAAGCGGCTCCTTGATGACCCAGTCCACTTGGGTTTCACACAGCACCGAGGGGTTGGTATTAGCCTGAGCAAACAATCACCGGTCCGTGAGCGGTGGCCGCAGGGCCAATTCAATCTCAGGTGGCTCTGTTTGAGCAAAGTTTCGCACCTCAAGCATCCAGGCTTGATGCTCGTGATCAAGCATTAAATCCATGCCCACGATTTGGAAGCACCTGAGAGCGCCAGTCGGCACAAGCCCACAACATGAGCACAGCCACTGACAACTGACACCCTGTGCTTGTCACCAGGACAGCCGAAAAAAAAAGCCAAGGGAAAAAAATGCAGCCTGACGCACCGACTGTGACCGTCCACTGCGTTGACCTGATTCTGCAGCACAATCTTTTCGCTGGCCCGCAGCATGGGCTGCAAAGCCTCCATCGTCCGGTACACACACCTGCTTTTCCCAATACATGGAGATAAAAATGTTTGAGATAAAATTGAGAGCACGGATGGCCACAGCTCACGTGAGCGGAGTGAGATGGCAGGACGGGCAGGCAGGACAGCAGTGCCGCGCAGGACCACGCACGTGTCAATCGCCGTTAGCAGGCGCTCAATGTCGACGCCCTGGCGCGCGAGCTGTGGCAGGAGTTGTAAGAGATTCTGCTTGCTCTGCGTGGCCTCTGAGACTGGCTCACTGTCGAGCTCACCGCATTCCTCGGCCACAGGCTCGTCCTTGGAAGGACAAAGCAACCCATGTTCAAGTGAGGGCATGCATGCGTGGTCTATCGTGTATCGGCGCGGTGTGTGTGGCAGGCCTTCACACATACCTCGTCCTCCTCGGGATTGTAGCCAGCCGACTGTTTGGATCGAAAGTTGACGCTTCCACGATTGACAGCATAGTTGGTCAGGTGCATCCGCAGATTGGAGCAATTATCTTCCGTTGGTGCCTCATATGGCTCGGTGCAAACGCGAACCAAGCCGTCCTGATAGAGATATGCCTCCAATGGAGCCAGGCTTGTCACGACACAGTATAAGCGTAGATCAAACTTGTAGCCCTGCAGCAACAATGGCTTGGGCAGGTAGGTTTGCATCACCTGCCACAACAAGGTGAGAAGAGGCTCTGGGTGGCACGCTGAAACCAGTGAAATGACCCAAGACGGCACGCACTTGGCGTTCCACGTCCAGGGGTTCTTGAATCAAGGATCCGCTCTTGATGCTAATCCCAGATCCACCCCGCGCCTTGTTTGGCTTGAGAATCACCAAATTGTTGTCCAGATCATAATCTACCCGCGCGCAGACAACAGCATTAACGCACATGAAAGGCATGTCAAACAGAGGCTTGTACGTCATGGACCGTCAAGAGAACATAGACAGGACACATACACATACACGCGCACACGCACACGCACACGCACACACAACGTACGGTCACGTTCGCTGGCAAGGGGCAGACGCTCGACCCAGGTGCGTGGTGAAAAACGAGGTACGTCAGCCAGCTAAGCACATGAAGTGAATGAGGTACAGGAGCCACAGCCCATCCCATGCGTGGTGAAACCTCACCTCATAGTAGAGCTCCAGCAGTCGGGCAAAGTTGGACTTGCAGAGCGACTCGCGGATGCGTGGGAAGCGGTTAATAAGGCGATGGGGAGAAGGGGCCACCTTGGTCCGGAAAAACGTGCGAGGCACGTCCTTGACCCCGGCAAACCAAGCCACGTCCCAATCCTCGTAACGCCATTTCGTCGTTTGGCGCAGCTGAAAATGAACGGCCGCCCGCCGAACGACGGGATGGCGAACCGTCTGACCAGAACAGAGGGCACCGCAGCGGTGGAATCAGCACACTGGCAAGACTCGCATTCAGAACGCCTACGATGACCGAGCCGCCACCAAACATTCACCAACCCACCTTGTGCAATCGTGTGTGTAGTTGAGCCACGCATACTTTGCGTAGGGTACCGTCTGGCAGCGTGGCGGGACGCAGTGGCTGCAGCCAAGGGTCAAAGATGAGCTCAGATTGTGTCAGCCCCGCATCAGCTTGCTCCATGGTTGCCACGGGTTTTGGTGTGGCTGAGGCCGCTTGCTCGGGCGTTTTTCGCGACGCCATGGCCTGTGCTGGGGTCGGCTCTGCAGCCGGTGCCGACGCTGGCGCCTGTGCAGCGGACCCGCTCTGACCGGTCACGGCACGACGCCAGCCTTGCAATCCGCCAGCCCCACCGAGTGCCATGACCCGTGTCCACCCCAGTTCCAACGAAATCAACCTGGCCGCCCTCCAAAAGACCCCAGAAGACGGGAGAACAGGGGACACACGGCTGTGGATTCCTGCTGCTGAGAGCAAAAAAAAAAAAAAAAAGCAGAGAGAGAGATCGAGAGGTCGATGCGTGAAGACCTATTTGCATGCGGTATGTTTGTTTGTCTGACATTTTGGATGTGCCTAGGGCTCAAGGCGGCCTTTTCGCTTGCTTGGCGGTGCGTTGGGGTGGAGTGCGTTGGGGTGTTCGGCTCGGTAAGCACAGAGCGAGGCATGTGTAAAGAATGGGGGAAAGAGTCAATTTGGAGTCGGTAGAAAAGCACAAACAAAAAAAAAAAAAAAAACACGTTGACAGAACGAGCAACAGGAAGGTTGTTGGTGCACTAGAGGTCAGCGACTGCCACCCCACGCGAGGTCAGCTAGAACGGGCACTCTGCAAAGACTGCGGGCAACATTGTTCGCGCTGAGGGTCTCTGCTCATGCCGAGCCTGCCTTGCGTTGCTTAGCAGCCTTGTTTGATCCACCAGCCGCAGCAGCGCCGCGCTTTGCCTGCCGCCGCTCATGCTTGCGCTCCTGGCGTTGTTGGCGATGTGATTTTGCCTCGAGCCCTTCAACCTCTACAGTCGTATCTTGCAGGCGCTTCACCTTGCGCTTTGTCTTCTGGTCGGCGTCAGCCTCGGGAGCGGATGGTAGTGAGCCCGCTGGGGCAGCACGGGCCTTGCCAGGCTTGGGCAGCTTGCGCTTGGCCTTGGCCGCGTTGGCTGCGGCGGCACCATTCTGGGCTGCTGAGCCCTTGGCGGCTGTCGCTTGTCCATTGGATTTTGGTGCTTCATCCTCCTCATCGGGCTGGCGCTTGGGAATCTGAATCATAAAAGCAAGAGGAGGAAGGACCATTGCGTAAGAATGCCACAAGTCGAGGCTGCTTCTGAGCCAGACACAGGCAAGCACATACCTCGTTGCTCAGTTTTTGCAGCTTGGCCACGTAGAAACCATCCATGTTGTGTGCGTGAGGATAGTAGCGACGAGTCTTTTCCAACGTCTACAAAAGTCAGCCGGGTCATTGAGTCATTTGAACTCACGGAAGGATATGGAACTGGTGAACCTGAGGGTGGGCGCGCGACCAACAAGCCAGCACATACCGGATGGAAGCGCTTGCCACGGAAGTTTGTAAAGCCAGGACGACCGAAATCAAGGCCAGTGTCCACAAGCTTGACGTTGCGCTTGCGTAATGCGTAGTCCACTACGCTCTCGTTCTCGTCAACCTTCACAGCGAAGCGACAATGACCACAACATCACGACGAGCATTGGGTGAGTGGGCGGGCCTCCTGAGCAAGCAGTGACCAAAGCAGGAAACGCAAAAGGCAATTTGCTTTCCCGAGTCACGAAAAAGCAAGGAGATGGGCTTACCATGATGCTGCAAGTGGAGTAGACAATGAAACCACCAGTCTTCGAGTTGGCATCCACAGAGTCAATGGCTGAGAGAATGAGCTCTTTCTGGAGAGTGGAACAGCGCATGAAATCATCCTCGCTCTTGTTGTTCTTGGCTCCAGGATCCTTGGCAATGACGCCAGAGCCTGAGCAAGGCGCGTCCAGGAGCACGCGGTCAAAGCCACCCAGCACCTAAGGAGAAAGAAGATCAGTGTAAATGAGACAAGCTCGGCTCGTCATGAATCCGGCGCAAAAACCGCTGCGCCACTCACCTTGGGAAACTCGCGGCCATCATAGTTGCAAATGACCGTGTTGGTGCAACCAAGACGGTGAATGTTGCCAAAGAGGGACTTGGTACGAGCCTAAAGGGCCGAATATCAGGATTAGCAGTCGCTCATGAGGACAAGGTCAATCAGATTCAAATGCCTACGGTCTTTTGCATTGGCCAAATTTTTTTAAAAATGGCTTGCCCACCTTGTTAAAGTCGTTGACCACAACCATGCCCGTGTTCTTCATCATGGCGGCCATGTGTGTCGTCTTGCCACCTTTGCAAGGCCGAGTCATCAAGCCGCAATAGATTAGCTTAGAAAGCCAGCAACCAGGAAGAAGCAACCGTTGCTTGCCGCAAACTACGATTGCGTGCATGCAAGATTCTTACCGGGGGCAGCAGCCATGTCCAGAACCTTCTCGTTGGGGAGTGGGCTCAAAGCCATTACGGGCAGGAAAGACGACGCACTCTGAACCAGATAGTGTCCAGCCAGATACTCGGGGGTGGCTCCAATGGGCACTGAGGACTCAAAAATAACGAGGCCAACCTAGACGAATGTGAGAAAGGACCCATCCCGTTGAGTTGGTTGGCCAACTGATCGGACGGCATTCCATCGACGGCAAGCAACGCAGAACGATCGGGGGGGCGTACCTTGGACCACTTGCCCACGGGATCCAGGCTCACGCCGCGGTTAATCAGCGCCTGAGCCAGATCACGGCGGCGCGTCTTTAGGGTGTTGGTACGAATGGTCACGGGTCGCTCCACTTCGTTGGCCTCGAGAGCCTCGATCAGCTACAAGAGTGGCAACAAACGCAAGGGGTGGAAACAAACAACCGTGGCGGTGAGGAAAACAAAGAAGGGGGGGGCAAAAGGACAAAAGGACGCAGGACGACACTTGAGCCGGGCCATTGTGCCAGGCATACCTCGTCCAAACCAAACAGTTGCATGAAGCGCTCCATCATGCAGTCGTTGTAACCGTAATAAAAGCAGAGATCGGCTTGGAGGACCTGCAGGTACTCGGTACGCGAGCGACCCTCCTCGCGCAACTCCTAGCATCAAGCCATGGCGCAACGGGCCAGGTATCAAATGAGCAAGATCAAGCTTGAAAAAGCTTGGTTCACGGTGATGGCAGCCAACGCCTCGATTCATGTTCCCATGCTGCTGCCGGGTGAAGAACAACCATGCTCGAGTGAGCCGACCCACCTTGAAGTTGCGGAGCGTGTTGAGATTATCACGAATGCGCATTTGAATCACGCTCAAATCCTCTGACACACGACCACCCGCCTCGATCTCCTGGCCACTGGGCAGCACAAATCGCTTGCTCTCAGCAATGTTCGTCTGCAATTCCTCTTCGGCCAGACGCCTGAAGCCAAGAATGATGGGTGCCAGAAGAAAACAGAATGAGACCACAGCAGAGACAGAGGGATGCAGGGGTACGTTCGACCAGCTGCGAGTGCCACGCACGCATCCTCTTCCTCGGCCGCCTCGAGCTCACGCGCAGCGCGCTCAACTGCCAATTCATCTTCATCTTCTTCGTCATCGTCATCTTCGTCATCCTCAATGTCTTCCTCATCAAAGAGATCATCCATTGCCTGCTTGGCAGCCTTGGCCTTCTTGGAAGGCTTGAGCCATTTGCTGTTGCTATCCGAGAAACCTGGGAAAAGAGTGGGGCAGCACTGTCAGACGGTTGCAGAACAAAGCACCGAGGCGCGCAACGGGGGCAAGTTGAAAAGAACGGATGCTTACCGGTCGCCGGCTCGGCGTCCTCATCGCTATCATCAAAAAGGTCGTCACCCTCTTCATTATCGTCGCCATCCTCTTCCTCACCTATGAGCAGCAAAGGTTGCAGAGGAAAAGGCAGTGAAGACAATGAAGCGTATGGCGGGATTACAACAGGGATTAGCGAGTGGTAGCCGGCGACGCACCGTTAAAGTCGTCTTGTGCGAAAAAGTCACCCTCGTCGTCGTCCAGGTCGTCGAGGGTGCCCGTCTTAACGGGAGCATCGTCCTCACCATCAACCTCGTCTTCCTCGTCCTCCTCCATGTCATCGACCTCCTCATCCTCGCCCTCCTCATCCTCGGAAGGAGCGTCGGCTACGGGGGGCTGGGCATCGAGCTGGCTAAAACTAGCGTCAAAGTCATCGAAATCACCAACGGTCTCCTCCTCTTCGGGCTCCACCTCGGCAGGCGGGGGGATGGCAGCCTTTTTGGAACGCTTGGGAGCCAGGGAGGACCGCGAGAAGAGGCCTGTTGAACCACCCTCATGAACTATGAAAGCAAAAGACCCATCCAACCCAGCAGAGGAGGTGAAGATGAGTCAAAGGCATGCACATGCCCATGCACAAGCCAAGCAAGGCGCGTACAAGCAGCAATTTCATTGGAGCGGCCTCCCTTCCTGGAAACGGGGCCCAATTTGCAAGTGGAACAGGTGAGCGGCGAATGCGAAACAGCAAGCCATCAAAAAGAGACAATGAGCACACAACGCACTTGCGATTGGCGCCCTTGGCATCCTTGCCAACTGAGAGGAAGCGCACAAAGTTCAGAGCATGAGTGGGGATGATGAGGACGAAGACCCGGGAGAAGCAGCGCGTTTCGCGTACCAGGTGCACCAGCCAGGGGCTCCGGGGGACCCTGCTTCTTGGCCTTGCGGCCCTTGCCACGCATGGGTGTGCTCTTGTCGTATTTCTTGCGACCCATGATGAGACGATGATGGGCTGGGACTGATCCTACGCTTCCAAGCGCGCCCAGGATGAATGAGCGTTTGACCAGCAGCCACGCTGCCATATCTCAGGCCACAGCCATGCAAGCCTTCCCCCCACAAGCTGTTTCCAACATGATGGCACAACGGCACACCCCATCGCAAGAGGCACGCTTCCCATCCATCGCATTCGCGCACCTCTTCCGCGGCGTCAGCAGCAACCCCTGCGACCACTCGACAGAAACTGCAGACGAATCTCTCTCTCTCTCTCTCTCTCTCTCTCTCTCTCTCTCTCTCTCTCTCTCGCTCCACGTGTTGACCGCATTGGCCATCTGGGCTTGGTAGATGCGAATACAGTGATCATACTTTAAATCTGCTGACAAAACCTTACGCATTTGCTGACAATATAGCGAAGCCAGTGAAGACGTCAGGCGTTTCTTGCAAACGAAACAAAATCTGAGGCCAGTGTGGAAACAGCAAATTCATGGTGTGGTATCGGTATAAGCCAACCCATTTAAACGCGGTGTGCAGGTGTGATAAATCGTCGTTGCGGGTGTGGCTCGATGAAGGGCTCATGATTGAAGACAAACGGCAGCCGTTCGTGTTCGTGTTCGTGTTCGCCTCAACCTCAAGCGAGCGGGCGCTTAGCGCGTGGTCAGTCATCCCCCACAGGCAGACACCGAGAGCGTGTGGCGACTTGGTCGGTTGAGTGCGCTGCTGTTGTGATCGCAAACTTGGGCTCGAGGCCCAGAACCTACTCAGGTGGGCGAGCATACGGCGCGGATCGAATTGCCACTGCCGTTGCACGCCACCTCTCGACACGGGCCGTGTGAGCTGTGACTTCCAGGTGCTTCCATCTTACTTTGGACCATGTTTCGGTGGCGTCAGCGACCCACCCGCGCCTCGCACCCGTCACTGGAGACGCCCGTGAGCTCACGTGCCCAGTCTCGGCAGAACACGGGCAGCAGCACACACACCACCACCGCCATGCAGCTGTCCAACGGGGCTCGCACACGCTCGCGTGCAAACAGTAACGAGCGAACGGGTATGCCTCAAGCATCGGCAACCCCGCAGTCGTTTGGACGACCGCGCCGCTCCAAAGAAGAGAAGTTGCGAGATTTTGCGGCCCGCCGGCGTCATGAGCCGCCCTCGCACAACCCCTTTCGCTCCCACCACCAGCAGTATGCCTCGACCCCAACCAACGCGCCGGCGCCGACAATCACATCCCCGGACGTGTCTCGAATCGCGGGTGCACACCCTCCACTCATTGACATTGAAAGTGTGGATTCAGCCGTGGGGGGACGCAGCCTCGCCATCTCCGACTCCCATGCTGCGCCCGCCACCCACTCCAGCCCACCCTCACCCCTAGCTCGACCCACTGGCCTGCCGCACGCTGCAGACAACGCCTCGCTCTCCTCTGATCCAGAGCAGGACCGCCCGATTCTGCTCTCCGACCCCGAGGCCGTCCGCAAAGCCAAGCCCGACTACGACTCCATTTCACAAGCCAGTATCGGATCGTTCTTCCGCCGCCGCCGCCGCACCTCAGACCCCAAGGAGCGTCCCTCAGATAACGAGAAGGAAACGCGAAAAGACAAGCCCACTGACCGTGAATCAGATAAGGAACATCGCGAGGGCGGTGCCGGCGGCCTGGTGTCCCGACTCAAGGCATTTGTTCGCAATAAAAACTCTAGCATTCCCCACACTCACGCTGCCAACGGCAACAAGAAGCGAACCCGTCATACGGTCCAGTACAATCAACACAACCCCGTCTTCACCAAACACCGGGGGCCGTTGGATGAGCAGAACGAGGACGTGCCCACTGATGAAGAGCGGCTGGCAGCCAAACGGCCTCGACTCAAACACGTGCCCCTGCTCGCTCACCGCACTTTTTACTCCATCAAAGCCCTTGCACGCACCGTTCTGGAGCTTTTGGGGATGGTTGTGGCGCTCGCCTTTGTGTTCGCCATCATCCTAGTCATTCTGGATGTTGATCGTCGCGGCAATTCGGGCCAAGATGCCAGCTTCCTCGAGTGTTTCATGGTCCTGGGTTCCATCCTCCTGACGGGATCAGACGACTTGGCTCCAGTCCGCCTCAAAATGACAACCACAACCTACCTGCTCGTCACGGTTCGTACACACACCTCTTTGTTCGCAGCCGCCCACCCACCCGCGCTTGCGCCCCCATGCTCTGCGTTTGATGAAGCAGAGTTGACGCAGAATGCGCGTCCATCGTGCCCCTCACTCTTGCGGCGTTGTACTTAGACGTGTTACTTTGTCGGGTTTTTCTTTCGCGTGGCCTACCTTGCTGGCTATCTGGCGCGCCTCAGAAGCTCGCCAACGTTTTTTTCCTTCTCAACATGGTATTGTCCGACTCTCACCCCCATGCACACGGGCCCCCAGCCATCACCGCCATTCCCAGCTCGTGCTTTCTTTCGCTTTCCCGCACAACTTCAATCTCATCGTGATGCGCGCACGGGGGCGTTTAGGTTGGTTGTGGACCGCATGTCTTCGTTTGTGAATGGCCCTGCACTTGAAATCCGAGTGGGCTATACCGATGCTTTCAAACACAAAATCATCCAGGTCAGTGCCCAATGCCGTCCTTCCTGTCCCCCTTTGACTTCGTTTCGCAACATGAGTCTACTGGTTTTATGTTCCTTGCACATCTTGAACCCTTTTTTTTTTTTTTTTTGCTGAACCGTTTCCGGGGATGTGGCTGCACCGCAGGGCCATGCCCAAGTGACACTATCACGCGAGCCAAAGGAATCGGAAGTGGCATTGCGCCGCTACCATCAGCTGAAACTTTTGACCGCCAATATGGCTGTGATGCCGCCCCTCTGGACACTGGCCCATGCCATCACGCCGAATAGCCCGTTGGCAGGCATTACGTGGGACAAGTTGGCTCGTGAGGATGTGACGATCACCGTGGTCATATCCGGCATTGATGCCGAGACGGGTACAGCCGTCTACCAGAGTCACACGTACATTGTTGGACGCATGTTGGTCAACGCCAAGTTCCACAACATGGTGACACAGCCTGATGGCTTGCGTCGCAAACGCAAAACAATCGATTTTGCGTTTTTTGACACGGTGGACGTGGAATACCCCGTCAACCGCTAGAGTCATCTCCTTGGCAAGGCTTGAAGAAGACAATGTCTCAGTGTCTGCCTTGTCCCTGGACTCGACGGCGTGTGACTCTTTGAGACCTCTGCCGTCTCTGTGCTGTCACGTGCGGGGCACGCTGTCGATCCTGTGGGGGTAAATGCCAACTTTTGAGTTGTTTCTGTGCTTTGCCACAGTTATAATTGTTTGTAAAATCAGATCGTGGCTTGCACCTCTATTTAATTGACCTGTATACCAGATCTCGGCAAAATGCGTGCGCGGAATCACAGATTGAGCGACGTCAGAATATCCAAGGCCTGCGCCCAATTGAGAGCCCTGGTCACGCCTTTGGGCAGCTGATCTTCTGGCCGTGCGTTCCACGCATACTCGCCAAAGAGCACAACCTGCGCCCCGTGGACCGAATGAGAACATGACACCGGTCACCGCACGCTCCCCATTGTCGTGGCGCACACAAGAACAAGAGGTGAAGGTTGAAATGGTGCACATACGTGTTTGAGCTGAGGCGCACACTGCTCAGCATAAGTGAGGCTATCATCAATCAGCACCTGAGCACCAATTTTTTGACAGAGATCCGGTTTGGAGCTAAATTCCAGACACGGGGCGTGTGAGTTGGAGCACGGCCTCTAGCGTTTTGTTTCTGTTTCGAGGAGACGCACATTTTCTCGCCGGTGATGCCCCAGTGATTGCCAAAGTAGATTTCGTCAAAGATGTCAGGATAATGCTTGGCGATCCAGTTGCGCGTAGCCTGTCATGTTCAGTAGCCCAATGATAATTGAGGAAGCGAGTGCAAAAGGCCGGGCGCGCGTGGTGCCATGCAAGTTTGCCGGGCCAGGCCACCTGCCTGTTCGATGGCGTGTTGTCGGGATGTGACGACGACCAGAGAAAAGCTTTTGCGCAGCTGTTGCAGCGCTGCCAACGCTCCTGGCACAGGGGCAATCTGCCAAGACCAAAGAAGGATTCAAAGAAGAAGACAGAACCAGCAAGGAGGCCAGCAACTTCATGATGTTAAGCTGCTAGCGGCACGTGGCTGCCCTTGCCCACGCCGCCCAGCATCGGCTACGACAAGGGTGTACCTCTGCAAAATAGTGTGACTCAAAAAAGTCGTGCACCTTCTGGGTAGCCTCGGCGTCTGAGCCGCCCCAAACGTCTGAGAAACGATAGCTGTGGAAGTCGGCCTGCGACAGAGACGTCCCGTGCACCTCGTTATGCCAACTGGCCAACGCCTGTACAAAGTACCCAAGCACCTGCAGCGACAGTGATGGTCAGGACCAGACGGGTGACGGCGCATCACTGCTCGGGCGAATGAAAAGCAGCCGATGTCCCACCTCATCCAAATCAACGCCAATCACCGGACGCATTGCCGCCATGGTTCCTATTCAAATCTGATCCGCCAACCACACCCCTCCAAGCACGTTCTTCCCAATCACACCCTGATACCAACCAGCACACAGACCCACGCGCACGCACGGACGGACACCTCTGAATCGAGTCAACGACTCACGCAAAAAAAAAAAAATCTTACAGTGCATTGTTTATCTGACATATTTGTCTGACAAGCATGACGTCTCTCTCTCTCTTCGGAAACCGAACATTACGGGATGGTATGACTGGTATGTTGTTAACTGCGGACACACACACACACACACACACACACACACACACACACACACACACACACACACACACACACACACACACACACACACACACACACACACACACACACACACACACACACACACACACACAGAAGTGCTCGTGCGTTTGATGGCGACGGGGGGGGTGCACGGGCGGCGGCATGAGTAATAATAACAGTACCAGTACCAGTACATGGAAGGCACGAGCTTTTGGCAGTGTGTTGCCTGTATATCCCAGCCTGGTTTGGTTCATGACCAAGCTGCTGCACATCACACACACACACACACACACTCTCTCTCTCTCTCTCTCTCTCTCTCTCTCTCTCTCTCTCTGAGGAAGCGGACGAGTGGCCCCCAACGAGAAATTTCAGCCGCGAGCCAACCACAGAAGG